CATGTCCTTGGGATATCAGCAAAGGGATCCAGAAATCTCAACAGGAAGTCAAAGTTTACAACAGGAATTCAAGACAAAACGAATACTGCAGCTGTAATACACAAACTCACAGCCTTGCCAGGCCTCACTCCTTTAAAAAACACTGAAACCTCTGGATCTCATAGCTTCAAGGACCTCTTTTCCAAGAGTGCCTCCTGTAAAGCTTTATTTCCTTTTGAAGTCTGCTTTCTACTTTACTCTGTTTTTTTGCTAGGAATATATTTAGGTAGGAACTGGACTTTACATCCACAGGCAGCCGTGGCTATCAGTCAATCTATCAGCAAACCGCTCATGAAGTTCACTACACAAAGGGTTAGTGCAGCTAGTACCACAATAATGTAGAAACAGAAATATTACAAAGTAAAGGCTTATAAAATAATAAAAATTCTACTTAGTTCAGATACCTCCCAGTGCCTTTGGCAAAATACCTTAAGCATTCCACATAAGGCGGGCATTGTCTTTATAAGATGGCACCTCATAAAATGGTATTAAATATCACCAACGGGGCTTCATATTTCATCCAGCAGGGTTTAGGCCAGACATGTTCTATATCACACATTATTAGAATGACATCTGCTTTGCAAGTTGTGTACCCAGGAGCATACCTTGATAACTCATTTCAGCACTCATTCTCGAGGCTTCTGTGGCTTCGTAATACCTAATATGTTTAACTCATTTTGAACAGAAGTCTAAAGCCTGTCGTGGCCCTCTGGCCAAAACTGTAGCTGTCAGGCAACGGAGCCAGCTATCAAACATTACTCATTTATCATTAGTGGTGATGCAGCTGTACAGAGAAATGTACCCACTGAAGTGAAGGGCTGTCAATTGTTCCCTGTATAATACTCCTCTCCTCAACAGGGCATTTCTCCATGGATGTATAGCTAGTGCACTTCGCTACTTCCCCATAGCGCAGAATTTATAGTAGCAAGGAAATGGGGAACATATTTTCATTTAAATGGGTCTGCCACGAGATGAATAAAGCAATCATCAATAGAATCTATAAGCAGAGATAGGTGGTGTGATGTTTATAAACATCACACATAGGCGTGTATCCGTATCAGGGTGGGCGTACATGTGCACATACACACATGCCGTGTTTATAAATACACTCTCTAGATCTGTATTGGTATTTAAAAACTGGCACATGATCAGTACCAAAGGCCCTGCTTCCTCTTTGCTCACCATTTCCATAAGAAGACTGGAATGTGCAATTTAGGCTTCAAATTTCCATGTCTATTCTGCTTGCAAAACTCAAACACACGCTACCTTGAACTTCACTATCCTCAACTCTGCTCCCCAGGGAGGAAAGCAGCCAGATTAAATCTATATGAGAGATCTCCTGACTGCAGACACTACTGCCTTTATTCACAAAGGCAAAGCACAGCAATGGTCTGGGAAAGCACCACAGTTAAGATACTATCTTCAGGCTCCTTTGAACCACTGCTGCATGCAAATATTTGTACACATGCATTATGAAGAGAGTGTGGCACAAGTCCCTGAATTTTGATTTTCCTCTGTACAAGTGAGATGCAGAGGAGCGAGACAGACTCTGGTGGTGAAGAGCAGAGCTCTGGCTCCCACGTCTGCCTTCCCACTGCCTAAGTGTGGCTTCTCCTCTGGAGCCCATGAAGGCCAAAGGGAATTTGCTCATTCCTTTCAAGGCATTCACACAGCTACAAAAATATCAAAAGTGAGTACTTCAAATCAGGAATCCAAATCCACCTCCAGCAAACAACCAGAACAGAACTGTTGCTCACATGTTAAATTCTGACCTTAGTCCACCTATGCCTAAGTTTCTGGCAAACAGAGGTGGTCATGATGCTCTGTGCCTAGAAAATGGTTTTAGCTCTTTAACTGAGGAGCAATCACAACCATCCTTTGAGTTGAGCATGAAGGTTGGTGTGACCTGGAGCAGATGTGTTGCAAAAACCTCAATTTTATACCCAAATTGCCAACCATCCCAGATTCACCCCAAACAAGTTTGCTGAAAAATCACGTGAGCTTTCTCCAAAGAACTTCAAGAAGGCTTTTTATTGAACATGGTGCAACTAAGAGATTGAAAATCCATGGTCAGGAGGACTTTTGTTCCCACTTTAGGCCTTGTGCAAAATATCCATGAATTCTACCATGGATGAACAGCAGCTAAACAACTTTATATGTGTTATTACATATTTCTGGAACAGTTCCACCATGGGTGTAGAAACCCACTGACCAAAACACAACTGCACTTCAGTTCTGACCCAAGTTTAAACATAGTTTCTGGTACCAACGTGGTTCTCATCCATAACAAGATGAGTAACAGGAAAAAGGAGGAAAAATGCAGCCCTGAAGGTTACAAACATGGGACTGCTTGTGGGGAAAAGCTCTCCACCGGGACGAGCCAGCATTAAACACAGGTAAACTTGGAGGTGCCCGGGGCAGCTGTTTCTTGAAGGGATGCCACTGAGGAGTGGCCTACTTTGTGTGTGCTGAGGATCTTCTTTTTCCTCCTCTTCCCCACTTTTGAAAACTATTTACATGCCATGGCGCAAAGACTGCGCACCATCCATCCCTTCTGCTCTGACCACCGAGCCAGAAGGCTTTGCATTACTTTAGAAACACAAGGACATTCTGTGCCTTGCTGAAAATGAACGCGGCAGAAAGGAAGATGATGAATGACAAAGTTTTCCTGGCAGATGCAGGCTATAAAAAAAGATCATGATGTGGTGAAACAAGTCTAACCAATGGGGTTTGCCAGAAACGCGGTGAAACAGGCCTCCAGTGTAAAAATGACACCATCAAATTCATAAAAGCAAAAAAACAAAGCCAAACAGCCTGAAGCCTAACAGGCAAGCAGCAACTTGGGGCACAGTGGAATACTAAGGAAAGTGGAAATAACCGCTTTTGCTTGTGATTTCCCTCCTCTACAGCCCATGGTCTCCCAGGGAAAGGACTTGGCACCTCACTGGCAGGGGGCAGATCCGAAGAGCAGACAGTGGCACCTGCTGCTGACAAGCTGGGCTGGGGCTCATCACGCTCCACGGAGCAGGACCAGGGCTGTCAGGATCCCTCTTTGACCTGATCTGACCTTATCTGCACTTCCAAGTACCTCTGGAGCCTGATGATTTCTTATTACCATGGGCCTGACCACAATAAACTTGGATGCATTGGTGTTCATTCCTGAGCTTGCTTATTTAATGTTGGAATGGGTAGAGGAGCACTGCAAGGAGGTGGTTAATGGTGGGTCCATTGCCCACATTTTACTTATAAAACAACAAAACTCAGCCTTTGAGCAGGGCCCCTCCTTTTTTTTTTTTTTTTTTTAGCCAAACCCTGGACAGAATCCATCTTTCCAAGTCAGAAGGGATATACATGACTGTGTAAAATCGCAGGAGCCTCTCCTCAAAACAGCCACAGGGGTTTGCAAGCAAGTCACAGAAACACCCTCTTCACCCATTCCCCCGGGCTGATCAAGCTCCCTCTGCAACACTCCCAGCTGCTTTGTGCTCAGAGGGAAGCAAGGCCTGAGCACAGGCTTTTAAAAATATTACAACTAGAACATGCAGGAAAATTCTTTACTTTTTAAACGCTCTTTTTGTAATATTACATGTTAGGAGAAATGATGGGTTTGGTTATGACTATCAAGTTAAGCAGGGGCTGGAGAAGCAAGCTGTCAGCTCTCATAGGAAACAGCCACAGCTGAGCTCTGTATGTTAAATATCCCTGAACAGGGAAGAGCTGAATTCAAACTGCTTTGGGTGACTAAAATGAACTTGATCTTATTATTGCACCATGACTTTTGGGGGGTTACTTTATCTCCTGTACGAGACTCATCTTTCTTGTGGCTGTTCTGTGTCCTTGTAACCCCACTGCACCCCAAATCCCCTCTGTTCCCTAACCCAGGTGTCCTTCTCTCTTTAGACTGCGCTCCTATCACCTGCTCCCGTTCCCAGCTGTACCACCACCACTTTACTTCACAAGGTCTCCTCAAAATCCCTGCAACGTTGCTGACGTGCTTTGGGCAGAGATGCTGGGAAAACAGTAACAATAATTTGGTAGCTGGCAGCCTCAGGGACCGGCCGGGAAGCGGCCGAGCAGCGGGGCAGCAGGAGGGTTGGGAACCACGCTGTGCTCCTGCTGCCCCATCCCTGCAGAAACCACCTCCTGCCCCGAGTTTCTGTGTGAGCCTCTCTGGCTGCTGAGAGGGGTCAGTGTTCATTTAAAACACGCCTCAGTGCACCGCTGTTTCCCACAGCTCTTCGAGGTTTGCGTTATGATACAGCGAGTGAGTCATGCACAGATTAGTCATGGAGGAGATTTATTCTTGTCTGCAGAAAGTCCGGCATGACTAAAGACAATGTAAGTTTGGCACCAGCTTGTTTCGGTTCTGGCCGGTGCCAGAGCTGAGCTGTGCCTCATCCCCAGGTGTGCAGCTCAGCCTGGTGAGGCCGACAGGGCCACACGTCCCGTTTAATGCCTTTCTGCCAACACCAAAACTTCAGCAGAGCCCGTGAGGGCAGTACAGAATGAGACCAACCCATCTCACAATCTTCAGGCTAAAATAATTGATTATTAACCTTCACCAGACCAGGCTACTGGTGTGCAAAAGGTTTCAAGTCCTAGTGAATCCTTCACGTCTCCCATCAAAGCTTACCAGTCACTTGGATGAGATCTTGGCTTCATCGAGGCTGGTAGCAAAACACTCATACAAGCCTAAGGTTTTATTCCACAGCAATCAAACTGTGCAGGAATCTAACTTCCCTGCACATCTACCAGTCCCAGAGCAGCAACCCTCCAAATTACTCCTGGAGATTTTTTTTTAACTGCAAAAATTGCTTTTTTGCATTTCATGGGGACAATAAGAGATCCAGCAATAACAACACATTTCTGACTGGGAAACTGTCTGGAATCCTGCTGCCACAATGCTAACTTTCAGGTAATTTTTCTTGGATGAGTTTACATAGTTAAGTGTAAAATCCTACCTGCTGACTGTGGTGGTAGTCACAGGTCTGTGGGACACTTCATCAGAACTTGGGCTTCTGAAACGAGAAAATGTTTTCATTCATATTTTAAAATTCCATTCATTAACAGGTGTATAAGGTTTGACTTCTTCAAAGTATGCTGCAGACACAGCCTAATAAATCTCCATGACACCTCACTGCATCTCCATTTTATAGATGTGGTGATTCGAATATATCCAAGTGAAATGACTTGCCCAAGGCTAATGAAGGAATCAATGTCAGAGACAGGATTAAAAGTAGAAAAATTCCTGGCCCCCAGTCTCATAACCTAACTGTGGTCTGCATTTCACTCATATGAAAACAGGAAAGGGAAACACATCTATTTTGAATATTGTGGAGAGTAGTTCAGAGCAGATGGGCAGCCTGATGTTTTAAAATTGCTTTACTTTGTCATAAAGTATCAATAATACACAGGATGTGGTTCTTGTCCAAGAGAATACCAAGGTGTGAACAGCACAATATGTGTCACTGGTAGGTTTTAGAGCAGCACAGGTAGCACTAAAAGAATAAAATAAGGACAGTCTTTTGAGATGTCTCGCTTGCCCTGTTCCTTAAAACGAATTTTTTCCTGTGTGCTACACAGTCAGTGAAAGCAGCTTTGAAGCTGATGAATACCTGTTGGGTAATGAATCTGTACCGAGACACCTATTGTCACATCTCAGAGGCAGAACAAGAGGCCTGTAATGCCCATTGCTCAAATTTTTTGGTGGGTCTACCCACCTCTTTCTTAGATGCTGACACAGAGCGAGGCAGCATCTTCTCTGTCGCCAGAACATAACGGGAAGACAATGCACCTGTCTGGCTGTGCAGAAGAATAATTTAAAGGAAGGGGGAAAAAAAAGGAAGGTACACTTGTGTCATTAAATATTGATGAGTAAGATTCATTGAGTGAGTTGGAGACAGTAGGATATGGCTTGAAATAAAACCCCATGAGGGCCACACCCCCTAGTATGCCCAGGGCCATCCCTTTAAAGGTAGGACAATTATAATTAATTGAGCAATCTGACAGAAACCATACATCCCTACACTGGAGCAGAAAGTGACACTGTGCATGGAGCCATCATGGACACTTGAAGGGTTAATACTGGTTCACTAGACCAAGGACAGTAAATTCTGCCTGTGGCTACCACCAGCCTATTGTATTATTATTGCAGGCTTTAGAAATAGCTTTTAATTTTAACCCTTTCCAGCCCTCCCTACTATTTTCTCTTTATAAATAATTGGCATTGAATAAAATGGCATGAAATCCTCCCAGTCCTACCCTTCAATGATTTCTTGTCACCTTCAGCATTTAGAATACTGTGCAGAGCAAAAAAAAAAAAAATCCAAAGAACCTGGACCTTCTTTACCTGTAACTTTTAATGTTGCCACAAAACCGGGCCCCTTTCATTTTGTTGTGATCAGTCCCCACTATTTGCTGCAAGGACGAAGAATCCCATCCACCACTTACTGGAAACCATAATGTGAGTATTCAGAGTTGTGACAAACACACAGACTGAATACAGATAGCCGTGTCCCCCCTTCAGTCTTCCCGACACCTGCATCCATTCACCTGACTACATTTTGAAGATGACGCACTGGGAATTGTTCACGCCTGTAGGAGCTGACAAATCAAACACGCAGGAACCATTGGTTACCTGTAATGCAGAAATCTCCTTCTGGATAACGATTTCAGCAATATGCTGAGCACATCCTCAGCCTTAGACAGGCTAAAGAGAAACAACCAGTGGAGAAGGGATTATATAAAGGAGTGCAGGGGACAGCAGAGGACTGACTCAGTGACCCAGGAGGTCCTTTGCAATCCTATATTTCTAGGTTCATCTCTTCATATTGAAGTTGATGGGAGACATTTCCACCGACTTCAAAGGGCTTTTATCCAGCCCCAGTTTCATTTCTTTTCAATATATAGATGCAAGAGTAATGTCACGCATGATTTTTGTGAGACATGCTAATATACAATCAGTTCTGGAAGCAGCAGAATGAACCCAGGTAGATAAATTGTTCATCCCAAAATGCTAAACATGCCAGGATCTGAAAAATATATCTCCTCGTATCTAAAGTGCAGACAAGTCCAGAAATGTCACAACTGGATTTCCAGTCATCATTAGCCATAATCAATTATGCCAAATAAATTGACCCGTTATCTACTTGCACTTTCTGTGAGCTACAGGGACAAGGTGAACAAACATTTTTGACCAGGGGATCAGCTCAGCACAAGGCTGGCCCGTGCTTCCAGCAACAGGAAGGAGTGTCCCAGCATGAAACCTGTAGCTATATCAGGAAGGTTATTTAACGTAAATGGGATGTTGCTTGCTAGAGACACGAGCCACAAAATGCTCTGGAAATAATTGTGGAAGCCCAATGTTGATGAACACAGAAACAAGGAATGAGAAGGTAGAACTGGGCTGGTTTATAATTACAGAGTGTTTTCTCTTCTCCTCTTTTTTCTCTGAGCAGGCATTCAGCCTGCTCAGCAGAGTCACTCCAATATGTTATCTAATGGCTTCATCTTTACTTGTGAGATTCCCCATCTGTGGCCAGACTGTGCCACTGCCTCGTTCAGCTGAGCAAGGGAACATTCACTCGCTCGCTCAGATCTTGGGAGACAGGTCTTGCTCTAGAGCAACAAAAAATGAGCTGCTCCTTAGTCAGGTCTGAACCTTTGCACTTAAGTCAGCCTTTGATGAAACTTTCCTCCGGATTTGAACGTTGCTCTTTATAGCTGGGCAATCTGCTGGCTCTGTCCTTTTTGCTCCTTACACTGGCATGATTCTGATCTATGTGGTGGTCTCACATTTTCCTCTAGAGCTTTCTGCATCAGCCTTGTTTCCAAAGCCCAATAACACAAGCAGTGATTTCTAACTTGCAGTTGCTTCAGAAGGATGGATGTTCAGCCATAATCAGTCCATTTTGCTATTTTTTCACCTGTTATACAGTAGTTGCTCCTGCTGTTTGGATGCTGCTTCTTTACTCACTTTCCTTTCCAATCTCTTTTGTCCTCATAATGCACTGTAAAACTTTAAGTGATTTATAAAACATGGAAAACTGTATCACATCCAATTCAGTTCTCCTTAAAGCAGAGTCATTTCCTCCTGTTGGGTTGAAGGTGCCTCTAACAAGGATGTTCCATGGAAGGATTCAGCCACCCAGGAGCATTTACTCTGACTCCTCAGATGTGGTGAGTCTTTCCCATGACCAGGGCAGAGAAATGACACCACACCATGAGATGGCCATGATGCTGAGATAACCCTGACGTGCATTCAGGGGTTCTGAGTGCTTTGGGGCATCCTTGTACTACATGAGGTGTCATACACAGGATCCACAAGCAGCACAGGTCTGATGGAGTCAGATGGAAGCATCATTCCCAGGTAGCCCATATTTGGGTGCCCATCTTTTCACACAGACCTGCAGAATTGCTCCAGTTGACTTCCTGATTATCTCACCAGCAGCCACACATCACAGAGGAAAACAGTCCTGGTTTGCTGTAATTTGCAAGTGTCATCTCCTACCAATGGAAAGAGGAGCACGGGAACAGCAGAGCTGAGCTGATTTGCTCTGGCACCAGTATCCAAGATATACCTATGACTGTCACATACAAATTTAGTAGACAGCATGCTTGCTTTTTATTTGATTTTTAGCAGGTCTCTCCACAATAAATATAAGAGCAGAATGCATAAACAAAGTGCCTGGCACTAACAGTTTATCTTGGTGACGGAAAATTTGATTGATGGTAAGTTCAGAAAGTGGCAAATTTTCAACACAGGGCTAAATAACCTTTAGTTGTTGATTTTAATTATTTTATTTTTTTTTTTAGCTCAGTTTCTCTCAGCGTTCACATTTCTTGTCTTGAAGCTGCTTTGTTCCAGTGTTCCATCAGCTGCTGGGTGAGGGGAAAAAAACCCCTACCCTATTTGATCCTTGTGTATTTTCACCGATCAAGTTTCTTATTACCAGGTTAAGAATTAAATTAAGAACTTTTGCACGTCACATTGCTTCTTGTTGTCTCTTTCTGGGACAGAACCTGTGAGACAGACCTTTCTGCTTGTAAGATGCTAATTTTGAACCTATCACTGTTCCTGCAACACGGAAAGAGTGGAGGGGGGCAGGCACACAAGAAGAATGAGGTAGCTCAGGGGAGATGCCAGTCAAAGAAGCTCCATTCATAAAGCACAGAAGGAAAGATTATTTTACAGAGGGGGAAATTGAGGCACAATCTTACAGTGATTTGTGTCCAGGAGCTTCTAGTAGGAGGATGGCTGAAGGGCAAGCTCAAGCTGGACCCCATGGCTCCTAATCTTGTGCCTTAGCAACAAGACCACTCTCCCTGTGCACGCAGGCTCAGAGAGAAGCTGTGCAACCTTCTAGGAGGGAATCCTTGCTGGATTAAGCACTTTGCTTGCTTTCCTCTTCTCACCTCTTTCCTCCTTCAAAGCATGGAGGATGGGGAGGGGGCCAGACAGTGAAACAGTGCCCACCCCTCCTCACTCTTCAGGGACCAGACAGTGAAACGGTGCCCACCCCTCCTCACTCTTCAGCCCACCCCACACCCAGTGGGGTCCTGGGGCTCCCCAGTGGCCCCCGAATGCCCACACCCCTCGGCCGGGGAGGAGGGATATGATTTGTAATTGCAATATTTTCATTACCGTCTCTTAGTTCTTTGCACACTAATGTCAAGAGCTTTGTCTTTGTAGTGTTATTGGCATTTTTCATCATATTCATGAAGTGTGGGTCAATTTTCTTCAAAAGGCTCACTTCGCCAACTTGCCACAAAGACAGACAGTAATAAATTCTACTAGTGCACAGCGAAGGCTTCGTAGCTGCAAGCAACAATAAAAAGCAATGAGCTGGGTGTCACTAAGTAACTCCAGTTTACACTGCATTTTCTTCTTTTATTGAAAACTCAGAATATGAATTTATTAATGAACACACAGGCCTACTTTGAAGGGGTGGGGGGGTGGGGGGGGGGGGTCCAAGTCAATTTATTTGGTATTCACACAGTGTGTGCCTACATTGTATTG